CACACCATTCACTCACACACCGTACACTCACACACCATTCACTCACACACCATTCACTGGCACACCATTCACTCGCACACCATTCACTCACACACCCTTCACTCACACATGCACACCTACAGGCAATTTGGCAACTCCAATTAACATCGGCATGTTTTTGGACTGTGGGGGGAAACCGGCGTTCCCAAAAGAAACCCCACGACATCACGGGGGGAGAACATGCAAACTCCACACACATGGAACTCTGGCAGAGCCTCAAACCCCTGGTCCCAGAGGTGTGAGGCAGCAGTGCTAACCACTGTGTCGCCTTTCACACAATGCCGCCTCTCACACGATGCATATTATTTATAATGATAAACCAGGCAGCCTTGCAGCAATGTCTTCCTATTTGACATTTTAACAGTGATTGTCTAGTGCCCTGCCTACTATGAGATGTGGCAGTGGTAAAGAGCTGTGTAGCAGGCTCTTAAAATCTCACTCGCGCCAGGTGTACAGACCTGTTAACAAGGCACAGGGGGAGTCGTCTTCAGCGGGAGCTCGGAGTGCTGCTGGAGCAGCCTTCTTAGGGGCTGTGGGGGGTCTTTTTGGTGCAGATTAAGGCTTGATGGTTGCAGGCGCAGACACTGGCAGGGGAAGTGTAAGAGCAGTCCAGGCTGGGCAGGGTGACACACACGCTCCTGTCCAGATGAGGCACAATCGCTTAATGAATATGGCTCCATTAAGGTTCATCACAATGCGTGTTTTACTTTCATTGTTTTATTTTTCAGTTTTTTTCAGTTAGGGCCACTCCATTATGCCAAAAAAACACAATTGTGTTTATTTTGGTCAATTTTGAGTTCAGGATTATTAAACACAATTAATCATAGACTTTAGAAATATCATGCATCTATTGAACTTTTAAAAGACTTTCCTCTTGAAACTCTAAATATATAATTCAACTGAGAAACAAAAAAAGGGGTTGGAAAAGGGGTGGCGCTGGATTTATAACACAAGACAAAACGGGAGCATCATTGTGAAATGAAATGTGGCACAATAATCACTTTTTCTAGATTATTTTGTTTTGATAATCATTGGAAGCCAAAATGGTAACTGAAAATGGAATCCAATTAATTGCCCAGCCGTAATTTCAGAGAAAATGTGGTATTGTTTGCTGCCACCCCCCCCCCCCCCAAAAAAAGAATCCCGACTGACCTTAAGGAAGTGAGCTGTTGAAAGCGAGCTCTGCGTAATCGCGCGGCTTCCGAATCCCGCTCCTCTGTACTCTCCCTGTGTGCTCGGGCCTCTTGCCTGAGCCTGAGCCTGATTCGATTTGGCTGTATTCCTCTCAGCCCCCTGAGAAGCCCCGGCCGGCCAGGGCCAGCATGGACTGTGGCAGAGCGGGGTCTGGAAGAGGGCAGCTGGTGTGCCAGTAGGTGGCACTCTTTCCATGGTGCCAGCCCTCAGGTGGTGCCGTGTTAGCTCTTTTTAAAGATGCGTCCGGCAGACCCCTCTTTTTCAGCGGGGGTGATGCGGTACACCGAGACCCAGACCACAGTGTTCTTAGTGTCCGGCCTGAGCCTGTACAAGGTACTTAAATTCCCTCTGGTATGTGCCCAGTCCTTATATTAATCAGGAAGCGGAGTGGCTTTGGACAGGGAAACGGGGAATGTGACCATTTTATTAGCTCTGCAGTCTGCTGTGTCGAGAGGTCTCTGCTCTCCTCGTTTGTCTGTCAATGAGCTAAAAACATGCATGTATTGTGTGCAGGGGTCACCGGGTTTGACACGTGACCCATTCGCTACGGGAGCGTTTGTCAGGCAATTAATTAAATGCTCCCTAATCGAAGGTCCCTTTAATTCAAACAGCGGGGCAGTGAATGAAGTTGTTCATAGCTAATGAGTAGCTAAGGAAGAGCGAGTGAGCACTGTGTTATCAGTAAACCTTGTGAGTCCAAGCCCAGGCGCTTTGTAAGTCCTGAATGGTCCATTTTCCCTCATTATCCCGATATCCAGGGTGCCCGCTTTTCTCTGACACTCATTAAGTACGCCCAGGCTTCAGCCATTGTGTCCTACTGTCATTTCATAATCCGGTCTCACCCCTAAAATTGCATCTGAGTACCTTATTTTCCCTGCCAATAACCGAGTGAGGAGAATGCAGTGAGCAGCCGGAAGATGAGCGCAGCGCCCCCGCCTGAACCGCGCCCGTCATTACTCTCATCTTTCCCTCCGCTGCCCGGCTCGCCGCTCTCCGTAACATACTTACTGTACACCTTCTAAAGCTGACTTCCTGCAGCAGCACTGGGCTGCACTGCTGTGCGATACCCGGATTCTTACGGGTATTAGTCATTAGAGACTGATATATTATTTTGGTAACATGATTCAGACAGGTAAGATAAATAAATAGCACACGCAGATAGTCCCCGACTTACAACTTATGTGACTTAAAATGACTCAAACAAATGGCCGAAGTTTCTACATAAATTTAAACAAATGTATGAAAAAAAAAAAGAAAGAAAAAACATTTCAGTGGCAGCGTTATGCTACCTAGTGCGCACTGCGCATCATACAATAGTTGCCCCAGGAAAGTACTGTACTGTAAGACAGTGTGATGCCCCCAGCCTCACACACAAATCCCCCTGTCAGTGTCAGTGTGGTTATCCTATTCCAATATACGTCTGTTTTAACATATGACCTGTCTGACGGAGAGCAAGCTTGGGATAGTCCATGCTCAGCTTTGCATTCATATTATGAAACGGGATAAAATCTGTCTCCTGATTAATTATGCGGATAAGCCCCCCCCCCCCCCCCAATAGTGTGATGCTTCACATGCCCAACCCAGTCTGCTCTCCCCTAAATAAACAGCTGTGCCTGTGTTCATTCCAAACTTGAACTCCACTCCAGTTTCTTTCCAAGCGGCCAAAATGTAATCCATTGAACACGATGAACTCTGGCTGCACGTTCTAGCCCAGTGTCGCTGACTGATTGGCAGGATCCATTGGGATGGGGGTGGGAGACACCTGGGGGGCATTTTGAATGCAACCCACACTACATCTGCCCAGGGAGCTGGGGATGTCTGGGGTGGGGGGGACTGTGAGCTGCAAGAAGATACACGCCAGTGGAGACCCTGACCTGAGTCCCAGCTTTTCTGGAGGCTCTGAGTATATCTGTCCTGTTTTTTGCAGTGTGTGGGGAAGCCAATGCGAAGGCCGCACAATGCTAATGATATCCTGAGCATCTGTGTTCAAAAATCATCTTCTCCTTTATGTTCTTTTATAACTAATCTCACAATGTGCTGCCAAAGGGAATGAGGTGGAGTGTAGTTAGTCACCGTGGATCCCTTGACAAAGTGACAAATCGTAAATCAGCTGTTTGGCCAAAAAGTACCTCTGTTCCTGTCAAAGCCTCCCCAATGCCCCCCCCCCCCCCTTTTAGCTATGAGCCTCTTGACTCAGAAGGTGTATCGGCCTTGGGTTTCCGGGGAAATGTTATTGCACCTATAAACAAGCCACTTAATCTCGACTTCGTGTGCAGAGATCTGGTTCTCTAAGTAGCCCACATCAGCAAACTAAATATTTTTCGTCATTTAGTTCACTAACCCCCCCCCCCCCCCGCAGGGCAGCTAATGGCATTGCTCTTTCCCACACCAGGGCCTTCAGACTGGTACCAGGGAGCTGGAGGAGATGGGCCTGAAGTTCTGCCAAAGCCTGCTGCCTCTGAGGAGGAACTCGATATTACACAGCAGGAAGCTCATCAGCCAGCCCTCGCTGCTGTATGACCTGTACAACGGCCTTCAGGACCACCAGTCACACAAGTAAGTCACTCAGCCTCGCCTGTGTCTGTGTATGGGTTACATTCACTGCATGTCTGTGTAGGGTGACTAGATAATCCATGTCAGGGAGGACACTTTGAGCTACTTCAGGTTTTACAAGCTACTTTACAACTGAAAGACTACTGTGCTTGGCTAAATACTGTAGTTCTGTTATAGGAGACCAATCAGCACACTGCCATAACTGCTGTGTGCTGATTGGTGCTAAAGTGAAATCCGGGTCCTGTTAGTTGAATTAGTAGTTTACACATCCCGTCCTAGCTCAACGTGTCCTCTCTGACATGGATTATCTGGTCACCTTATGTATGTGTGCTGCTTGGTCATGGCCATAATGTTTACAGTGGACGTCCTCCTGGGATGGTTTCTTTGATTATGCATGGCCCATACATAACATGCTAATCCTGACCTGGATCTGGGGAGGATGGTGTGTAACGTTGTTCAGGGACATTATGGTTCATTGGGCAAAATGAGGTGTCATTTACTGCCTACAGTAAATGTTATTTCAGAAGAAAATTCAAAAGGGCCTTTCAGACTTTCAGTGGGTTTAAGTGAACGTCAGGCTTCAGTTTGAACTTCTATTAAATTCATTCTGTGTAACTCCACAGTCCTGCCTTGTGGCCTTACTGAACTTCAAGTTCAAATTCCATTTAACTTGGACACAGCCTCTTTCCATATCTGCAGTTCAAAACGATGACAACACTGAATGTAGGTTTTTGGACTGTAATTCAAAAAATAAATAATTATTATTATTTAATAACAATAATAATAATAATTATTATTATAAATTGTAATTGTGAGTGTCAAATTAGTGAAATTCCATTTTCTTCCATTTGTAAGGCACTGTTGATGGACAGAGGAGTGTTGGTCAGCAAAGCCTCAGGTCTCATATAGGCCTGAATAGTTGGAGGCCTATGAGTCTGTACCTGTCTGCTATCAGCCTGTACCTGTGAGGGCTGTGAGCCTGTACCTGTGAGGGCTGTGAGTCTGTACCTGTCTGCTATCAGCCTGTACCTGTGAGGGCTGTGGGCCTGTACCTGTGAGGGCTGTGAGCCTGTACCTGTGAGGGCTGTGAGTCTGTACCTGTCTGCTATCAGCCTGTACCTGTGAGGGCTGTGGGCCTGTACCTGTGAGGGCTGTGAGCCTGTACCTGTGAGGGCTGTGAGCCTGTACCTGTGAGGTAAATCCCATCCCATCCAAAATATTCCCTTAACTTTGAGCTTCTGAACACGTTGAGGTGCTGGCGTGTTCCCGCCAGCATGTAGCCTCTTACAAACACCGGACACGGATGATCACTACACACACAGGCAGGAAGCCTGTATCAGCACAAACGTCACGTTTGTGTTTCCTACGGCCAATCTCTAGTCTTGCTCCTGGCTGTTAAATAATCACTTTTGAAATGTTCTAGAGACCAGAAGGTCCACTTGCACAGCAATTACATTTTTGAGACATTTTTGATCACGGCCTTTCAGCTTTTAGGCTGCTGGTTACAAATCTTACTAATTCCACACTTTCCTTACTCCAGAGAAGAATCGATCTTTGATTGCATTGCCCAGACAGATATAGGCACAGCCTGTATCAATTATAATGACAAACCAAAAAAAGAAAAGCATTTGTCTGAGTGGCAAAATAACACATTAAACGATGTATTCAAGACAGATTTCATCTGTCACCACTCAGCTTGTCTAGGGAAAGTTCTGCAGGGATAAAAACTCCTAATAAACAGGTCCTTCACCTTGGCCTACACTGCTACCTGTGTCCCTTAACTGAACAGCAAACAATAGTGACGCATTCTGACTGGATTTTTATAAAGGGCCAAGTTACAGTAATTACAGTGAGTATGAAAGGTACTTAATTGTAAATGAAATGTAGATAATTGTTTTCCATAAATATGACATTTTCATAGAATTTTACAAAGTGCTACTGTGATAGTTGCTACTGTGTAGCAGGTGTGCATCAGAATTCTAACGTTTGGAAATGAACACACACAGACCCATAGATTCATGGGGACTCTCCATTCATTTCTTTGAGAAAAACCCTAATCCCAACTATGACAACCTTAACCCCTACCCAGCCCTAAACGTAACCATACATAACCAAAGAATACAAGACTTTTTGATTCCCACAATGTACTATACACATGACCGCCCATGCATGCGCGCACACACACACACATAATATATCCAGGGCAGGAATCGAACCCACGCCCCCGGAGACATTAGGCCACAGTGTTATACACTGAGCCACCCTGCTGCCCTAATTATAATATATTCTGAAATGTTTTTAAACATTTTTAGATGTGTGACATGCATTGTCAGTCAGGTCTGTGGAGCTTGTATGAATTTATAACAAGTTCTTTGTGGGCCAGGAGGTGCTAACGAAGGTCTCTGATGCTCCCTGCACATCATGCGCTTGTTAGCGGACTCAGTATTATCTATGCAAATCACCTGCACTGCAGGGGCCAACATGGTAATCCTACAGTATTTCAGCTCTGTAGCTGTAACAGGCTTATCCCCCGTCAGCGTCAAGAAATTGCGGACCTTCCTGCCAAAGTCGACTGTACATTAAACATCCATTTATGTGCCATTCAAATTCCTGTACATGACGGCTGACATTACTGTATACTCACATTTTACTAAAGGAACCTCATGGTACAAGAAAATACACATGCAGATAATTTGATTAATTATAATATTAAGCTTTAAAGTGTAAACATAAAAACTTGACATCTATAATGTATCAATCAAATTTAATCCATCCATCCATCCACCTATCCTACACTAGAACCATCCATCTTCTAAACACTCATCTAGTAGCCAGAGAAACCGCCAGATCACCTTTTATCTGTCAGTTAATTGCACAGCTATGTAAAATCCCACATCTTTATGCTGACTCTCCTGTATTTCGGACAGCTCTGGACACAAATACTTTGGGTCTGTCTGTCAAAGTGTCACTCCTATGGGAACTACACTCTTGAGTCTCGAGATCCCATCTTGGCTGTGACAGGCTCCACGGAGCCAGCGAAAGGCCTCGTTTAACGCTGGTGCTGCTCTTTGGGGTCCGCCGAGGGAGACGGCCTCTCTGATGAGTCTGTGTGTTGGGCCCGCGCCGGCCTGCAAGTACAGTGGGCCGGCCTCTGGGAAGCACAGCCTCACCAAGCCGCAGGTCTGTCTGCTTCGAAGCCCCAGACACTGAACCATCTTCAGCGCGAACGTCGTTCTTTCTGCGGAAACATGGGAGCCATGAACTAAGGAGGTCTAACGGGGGCGGCATTGCAGTGATGTGCTGGAGGGTTTTAGCGGTAGGCAGAGGCAGAATGACGACCTCCTCAACTAACAAGCTCATTCCTCAAAGAGGAATTTGCACATATAGAGCCTGATTTATACAAAGTTATACCTGTGATTTCTCTCATTTGTTCAGTGAGAAGAACACTCATATCACTTCACATAGCAGAGGTCACACAGGGAAGGCCCCATGTCTGTGTGTTTAGTTATCTGCATTCATAATTGTTCTTATTTGCAGTGGTGCAGCCCTCTCCCACAGCACTGTAAGCATGTATGGTAATCCTCTCTCCAGCCAGCAGGAAATGAACCCTTTGTATCTCTGCCATCCTATGCATCACTTGCATTGGAGATAAAAGATTTGTCATTGGGGAGCGGTAATGTGCTAAGCTGTGGCGTTCAATACGCAGATAATGGACAGTGGCAGACATTGTCTCAGGTTGATCAATATGGCCCCTGTGTGACTGGATAGTGTTTCATTGCTTCAGAATAGGCAGAGCTTTTAATCTCTCACCAGCTGTTTTTTCCAGTAGGAAAAAATCAGAGAAAATGCTTTTTACTTAAATATAAGTGTGTGGTTTTAGTTGAGCTCTGCGCTTCGCAGATTCAAATGAAGATCGGACTGCTCTCGTTTTCACAGCAGCCTTCAAACTCTTGCACTCAGAGCCAGGACGTGCCTTGGGGATCGGAGGAGCTTGGCGTGTGCTCCACTGAGTATTTCTGTCTTATTATGTCTTTTGTCTTATTTTTAATTTTGGCTCATTTCATATCTCCTTCTGTAATATACTTTTGCGCCTGTAATAGGGCTGTTTTGTGAGTGTTAAGCGAAACTATATGAAATTCGTGCTTCTAGCTTAAGAAATAATGGATGAGAAAAAAGAACTCCTGGCCCGAGTTTTCTAGCTCCTTAACATTTTAAAGGCATCTAAACTAAATAAAAGCTTAGGACACCGGACACATGTGAGCATGCAGTAAAACTACCATTTCCCTGGCATGACAGCATGGTCTGACCCTCCGCTCCATGCAAAAATGGCACCATACTTTCGGGTCTTAGGACGTGGAAAGATTTTTTTGTATTCAGGCTTTATTTTTCATTTAGGTCAGCACTTAAAAACAGTTTGAGCAATTAGCACTTACCTGCTTGATTCTTGCTCCCCCATACATATAAATGTGCTATTAATAACATGGCAACACTCAGTCTGCTGAGAGATCCTTCAGAAGGAAGCACTGTCTAACCACTCACCTGTCACCCTTATTAGGAAGTCAGGCCCAGCCCAGCCCTTTTCTTACTCATCACTGCTCCCCCCAGTGCCACCTACCGGCACAGAATCGGCTCATCAGGGGCAGGTCAATAGCCGTCCCATCAGGCTTTGGTCACCGTGGTGACTCACCTTGGGGGCGAGTAACCGGCCCTAAAATGAGAGCCTGTGAAATAATTTCCCGGGGTGACATCTCACGTCAGCATGTCTGGCCGTGTCTGGGGCATGCTGCCGTGTGGCATAATGACTCTGTGAGTCATGCAGGAAGACCGTGGCATACGGGAACGGTAAACCATGCTGTACCATGGTGTGCAGTGGGCTGTATTCACACGCGACTCGCCGTACAGATGGAAAAAAGGACAACTAAACTGTACTAATTTTAATAGCATATTTCATACTTTCCAATGGCCTATTGTGTAACCATATGTCCCCAAATTAGTGTTAGCCAACTGAAGCTAGGGTTAAGGTTACAAACAAAACGTGTTTTTATGATTGTTCTGGGCCCATGTACTGTATAACGGGAAAAAAAGGTTAACGCAATTTAATAGCATATTTCATATGTTCCAATCGCTCCCCAATACGTTCCCCAAATTGAAAAGCCTATAGGAAAAATACGAAACGTACTATAAAAATATAGAACTTTACATTTTACCATATATGATAACATATGCCTTTAGTAGGAAATACAGACACTCCTCTACTTACGAATGAGATATGTTCCAAACAGCCATTCATAACTTGAAATGTTCGTAAGTCGTCATTCAATATAATTTTAAGGGTATACGCAAGTACAAAGAATTAGGATGCTGGGAGTACGCACGCTACGCTGCTGCGCGGCGGGAGTAGCGGCCAGAAGTCATACTAGGCGGAATTGTCGCACAGAAAAAAAATTTATGTTGCGGACAGGAAACAGGAGCCCAGTGAACACAATTTGGACTTACAGTCCTCTTCGTTCGTATGTCTGAAAGTTCGTAAGTTGAAAGTTCGTAAGTAGAGGAGCATCTGTACATGGTAATTGCTTGTTGTTTCTTAATAAAAATTTTATGCTTTTAAATTATTCTGATGAAAGACATGTATGATTTCTGTACATTCAGTTGGTTTAGTTAGATATGAGAAAATTCATGTTATTTTCTCAGAACACAAACTGAAAAAGGATGTTTCCTTTTCAAATATTAATTCTAGTTATGTATAACCACTGTCCATGATTCAATTTAGTTAATTCAAAGAATTATGCATAAAAACTAATACTGACAAATCATCAATGTAGAACTTATGTGTTTGCCAAAATATAGTTTTACATGAATATAGGACATATATGACTAATGACACACATGTTGGATGACGCAAAAATATCATACGTATTTTAAATTAAAAAAGGACATACGGTATGTGTCTAATGGGTTGTATATTTGAGTGCCATCTAAAGACCTTATGTGATTTGGGTAAAATGCATAAGTATTATTTTAAAATAACTTTTCCCCACTAAACCTTTTTACCACCCAGGTCTATAGACATTACAAATTCAGTTACACAAACAACTTAAAAAGATGCCTTTGTGCAAGAAGATGGTATCTCTGGGGAAGCGATTCAAAGATCCAGTTGGCAGAGGTGTCGTGGCTGTGAATGGGCCTGAATCAAGCCCGGTTTGGGCACACTGTTCAGTGCGACACACCTTTTAAGCTGGCCTCTTCATTTCTGCCAGATTTGATATATAAATCATTATGCTTGGTCTTGTGCTTTCACGAGATGAATGACTACTGCTAGCAATGGCGAAGGGTATTTTCTCAGTGTGATCATCATTTCTCAAGAGAAAAAAACTAGTGACTAGAACTATAGATATGTCCCACCGTGATCCAGCCCTCTGTATAACCAGTGGATTGGTTCCCAGCAACATGACGTACTGCATTCCTAGCGCTAACCCTAACACTTACAGCAACATTCACAGCAACCCTAACAGCAAGCCTAACACCCACAGCAAGCCTAACCCCAATCCTAGCTCTGACACTCATCCTAGTTCCTGCCCTAACTGTTGCTGTAATCCTAGTCCAAAAAAAAACAAAGCAAAAGATGTGAGATTGATGAAAGAACACCAAGTCATGATATCATCTGTCCTTCCCGAATGACACAGAGAAAGAAGGTGAGGACAGGATTGCAGGAGGAGAGGTGTGTTAGTAAAGGAGGGCACAGGAAGTGAGGTGTGAGCTATGCCACTCTGCACTGTGCTACAGTAGCTTGTTGGGTGATAAACATGCTTGGGCAGCTAGATCCCCCAGATATGTGTGAGGCCCCTGACACGGTGCAACCTCTCCTCCTAGCTCCTTTGAGGATGATGAGCCGCCGTGCGTGGAGGAGATAGAGTACCTGAACGCAAGCTGCACGGAGCACATGGCGGACACGCTGGATGCCGAGGTCAACGCCAACGGGCTGGGCTCTGATGAGGATGAGGAGCTGCGGCGGCCGGAAAGAAAATCACGTCTCATCCCCTGCTTCATGCACCGGGCCTCCCTGGACACTCTGAGCCAGAAGCGAGGTTCACGTCAGGCCACGGATATCTCAGGCCAGCTCTTTGGTTAGCAGGCCACACTAACATCGCTAATCGCTGCGTTCAACTCCCACCCCCTCTGTGAATTGTGCACAGATGGGATCTGGAGTGTGGCCTGTCATTTTATTTAAAACACATTTCTATTATACTTCTTATGATTGTTGAAAAGCGCCTATTAAACTGTTAAACAACCATAAGTGAAGAAACATTTAACTTAACACTTACAGTTTCAGTTTATCGAAAATGTTATACATATAATTTTTAAAAAAGGGTAAAACTATTTATTGAGCATCCCAGAAAGCTTTCAAAATAAATAGGTATAACATGTATGGTATATACTGTATGTAGGACTATTTTTATGAGGAGTGCTGTAACACTTTTACCTGCCTATGTGCACTTTTGTCCTTATATGTAAGTGGTGAGGTGAGAAAGACTACGAAAAAGGTGTAATTTCATTTCATTAAAAGACTGTTAGGTGTCCAACAGGAACATAGAGGCTGTTTACTCTGAAATGCCTCCGGCGAACTGCACATACTGTAAAGGCATAGCCACAAAAATTGTGTGAAACTGCTGAATGAAGTCAGTGATTGAATTACCCAATAAAAATGTATTTATTTATCTTTTTTGTTGTGTTTTCTTTACCAACATTGAGTTAAACCATGTGGCAGTGCCTCTGGGGGTTATGGGTAGTATTTGCATGCCAGGATGTGTGAAATGGTAAAAATGAAGGAATCACATGATGTCCTCCAATGGCTGTGTCCGAATTCAGGGGCTGGACCCTTCTAAGGCTGCATCCGAAGACCGAATGCATCACAGCGGTGCAACACGGCTGTTCCATTTCGAAGGCTCTTTCAAATGCAATCTAGAAATGCATCCTCTATTTGCCAAGTCATGAAAGAGCCATCCAATGCATACTGTACTTCGCAGCCCAACATATCCCAGGACTCATAGGGCAGAGGTAACGTGGGTGTGCCCCAGCTAGACGATATGAGTAGCACTTCATGATTTAAGGGTACGGATGGAAGCAGCTGGTGACGCAAATAGGAAATTTTACATAGGCCAGGCTGTCCTGTTTGACAACGCTTTCTGTTTGACCTTCAAAGAACGCAGCCTACAAAGGCTACAGCTTCATATAGACCGTGTCCTTTGAAGGATGCAGCCCCGGAATTCGGACGCAGCTAATGATTGATGGTTCAGTGGGAGATTCTCATGTTAACATTACCTGTATATGAACAGCCACGTGCAGCAGGTATCGTATGTGCCACATGGACACAGAAATACATTCACAGGTGGTTGTTGCATGTCATATGCTCAGTTAGCTGCCTTTTAAAATTCGCCTAACAATCCGAACCCACAGGTCATCAAAACTCAGAAATACACAGTAACAATTTTTTTTTAAATAATTTTACTTTTTTTTTTCTTGTGTTTTTGTTGTTTCTTCAAGGTCTAACCATCTGTTGATAGAAGACTGCTAAGCCTGTCCACTCACAGACACAAAGAGCTTCATCTCTTAGTTTTAGCTTCCCAGAGACTGACTTTCTCACCCCGGAGAAGCATCTCTCTTCCAAGCGGCCAGTCTGTCTTTTTATTTCAATGTGGGGGTGGCCCTTGGTGGCTTAGTGAGGAGTCACCATTTTCAGACCTCTTGGAACCAATTTCCTTTACAGAAAGGTTGCCTAATTACATACTGCAGCTGTAAGTACAGTAACATTCCAGGGAGCTTCTACTTCGATTGAATTTCCGACAGTTTAACTCTAATTATTCCCTTGCTCCCCACAAAAGCAGTTCACCCCATTATCACCCACCTGCCCACTGACGACAGAAGCTGACTGATCTGTAACAAGATCCTTATGTTGCCAAATTAGTACATACCTTTTCACATTCCGTGCACAAGCACGTGGCCTCAAAAGGCCTTGAACCAACAATTAACATTTAACACAAAGTTTTGCGAGTGTGACCTCTTCTGATGCGTGTAGCATATGACTGGCCTCATTAGGCGATGGTCCATTCGTGAGCAGAAAGGATTAATATCTACATAACTGATTCACTGAATCCGTGGCCTGCAAATGTATGATTTAGATTTACACCTTTGTGGAAGGTCCATCTGTCCGCCCATCCATCCATCCATCCATCCATCCATCCGTCATTAAACTTCACATGCTGCTCAGGGCACCATGTTAAGGGACAACCTGGATGTACCAGGACAATTGTTGTCATAAAATTTTATTAGATTTTCCCATCCCGGGACAAAAGCTCTCAGTTAATTTTTATACTATAGACTGTTCCACAGACCAGGGGACAGTATTTGTAACATTTACGGCTTCAACGATTTTATTTACTGGAGGATTTTCAAAAGCACCATCCTCTGATCAAAGACTTACTGATGGGTTAGCTTAGATGACTGGCCAAAGCTATTTGTGCCTTTGTCATTTAACAGCTATACCCATACTCAGATTTACATCATCTAAAATACATTAAAATGAATGGTCTAAGGCTTGTTCAGTTGTCAGTGTGGATATTCCTGAAATACTTCCCATGGAGAATAGTCATAAGGCCAGTTATGATCTCATCGATCATCTTGCATATTAAATTTCCCTCTGTATTTGAAAAGCCTCACTTAAAACTTCAAACCTGCAGCACAATGAATCCATGAGTTGTATTCTTGATGTGAGTATATAATCCAAATCATTCTAGTGATTCTAGTTGTACAACATCTGGCAGTTGTGTGACGTGGGCAAACTAAAGACAAATAATGATTTGTCTGAGGCGCAGATCCTATTGCTATACGGTAGATTTTTCATACACGGTCACCTTATTGAGCAGCGGGTGTTTCCTGTTTGGTTCTCACGTTCAGTATCATGACCCCCTACGCATTTCCCTTTTCTGCTGCACAGTCATTAGCAACAGGACTGATCTTCATGCTAGCAAAGCAGGAGAGCATCTAAAATACATTTTATGAATAGGATATTAAAGGCAGTGATGTACCTTCCCCTGACATCTATAGCAGGTGGCCAAAGTCATCGCAGATAAGAGCAGACAAGGGGAAAAAGGACCAGCTTTCAGATGATATACGGAGCCCTGCATTATCTGATTAGTCAGGAAGCAACATTAATTTCCACACGACAGATAAGACCTGTTTGCACAGGCAACAATATGAACATTTTTATAGCAATGCTTCTGCTGGGCCTCACAGGAAGCTTACAAACAGACCGGAGGGGCCATCGCTAGGGGTGGCTGCTATCTGGAGGAGCTAAAAGGGAAAAAAAAAACGCCTTCCTGTGGCTGTATAATCGCTGTATATATTAAAAGGTGTTGTATGGTTTTTAGAATAGACCCTGACGTGTAAGGCTTGAAGCACCAATTTTCTAAGGATAATTCCTTTCACGGCACAAACCAGGAAACATGGCATTAATAACTGTTAAACATGAATGTTATCAAGACAGAATCTTTAATTTTTTTTTTTGGTAAAGCGAGAAACAGCTGCACAGGAAGGTGGGAGGGGGCCACTCAGACCCCCATGTTCCGGTAAATTACCACCCGTGCAATACTGAACAGATGCCTTTGAAGCTAACGAACAAGTGAATGATTTCTTCATAGTATTCCGTTACAGTTCTGATATTCACTCAGTCCCAGTCCCTGTTTCTACAGCCTTAAACACCCCCCCCCCCCACCCAATCAACACTAAATAGTCCCAGCCCAGAAAGTAAAAATACAGACCAACCAGCTGAGTACTCAACTGGTTGGTTGAACCAAAACCTTGGTTTGGATTTGTATTTTCTGGACCAGAACTTTCCACCTCAGGATGATAGTGTGTGCACATCACCCCTGGGGCCCCAATTTTATATATATATTCAAATTTTACATATAATCTTGGTCTGGATTTTTACGTTACGTTTTCACGTTCTGGAGGTTGTCCAGTATCCAAGGTTATATTGCCGTTGTGATACATTAACACAAGATGAAAGTGCTCAGGGGTGGTTAACCACTTAACAACTGATTCTGGGCCAGATCTGCCTGCATCTCCAATAAACTGGGCGCCAGTGACATTCAGGCAGATGAGTCTGAGCCATAATCTGACCAGAGTTCTAAATGATTACAATTGGTGTGTATAGACTCTGAAGATCCAGGGCGCATTCGCCTGACCATATATACATATGATCAGTCACTCACCAGATGCGCTAAGAATCATAAGGAGCATGAAGGATCACATTCCGGAATGGGTTCTGTTCTTGGACCTATTAGCAGCAGTTTCAACCAAAAGTTTCCAGAACAAGCAACCATCTGTGTAACACAATACAGCTGGGGCCTCTGCATGAAGGTGTGATGGGCATCTTTCCCGGCACCGTGCAGGAAACATAGTGAGCTGACACAAGGCAGCATCCAACTATGGGCTGGCGTGTAGAGAAAAGCCAGGTGCATCAACAAACATCAGCGAAAACCTAATCTGCTGGACCACTGTAGACAGCAGGAGAAAAGGCTCTGAATTACAACTACATGACATCGATAAATAATTCAATTACGGTTTAAAGCCACAGGCTTTTGGTGTGATTGCGCCCTGCATACATGCTGTAAAAGTGAATTCAACATACAGCGTACACTAAAATGCACAAAACTGCTTGTCAGTCAGAGATGAGATGATCACACCTAATCAGTAATAACACTAGTAATGCCAGCGCTATTGCAGTAGGTCCATTTTGCCATTACGTGATTCAATTGGTGCCTTTAGTGGGAGTGCATGTTTGAAACACACTGGACGCCATCAGGTCGCGGTGAGAGGTGTATGTACTAATACATGTGTTAAGCTTCTCAGCAGCGTGTCGTAAGACCCAACATGCAGGGAGTGGTAGCAAATAAAGGGGCAGACAAGGAGAAAACGGAGAGCTTGGGATGTGTGGAGCCTTTTATCCTGGCATAGCCGAAAGACCCTCTGACCACACGCATTTCCCAGGGAGGATGGACCAGTGCTGCGTGCAGGTAGCTAAGCAACAGAAACCGCCGTTTCTGCTGCAACAGGCAGAGCATCTCACCGGGTGCAATGTAGGGGCGACACATGCATAACCGCCACCCTCCTTCTCGGTGTTTCTATGCAGCGAAAGTTCAACCCACAGTAATAATTCAGACAGAAAAACACCCTTGAACAGCTTTCTGACTGTCTCATGGCCCATTCCTGCATAGTGAGTCAAACCCACACAGCCTTTTAAATGAATATCGCCATTTCCCACACGTACTGTATGTCCCTTTAGCCATGACCTCGAAAAGAGAAATCATACGTAAATAAATAGCACATTAACACTCTCATCTAAAGGGGTTAATTGTGCTTATTGACATCGAGGTGGGGGCCGTGAGAAAGACTGGGCCCCTGGCTGAATTCTGGCTCGGAGTCGGGTTTCGGCAAGGCCCAGGGGCCGCCACGTGCTCAGAGCCATCGGCAGAGCCGCGGCGGAGACGTTTCACGGGCGATTCATTAGCCCCTTAATTACAGTGATTCTTGGCAACAGCTGCATGTCGACTGAGACTGATACACAGATATCAGTGCTAGCGGCCTTTTTTAAAAGAAAAAAAAAAACTACAAATAACCGCAAACTAGATAGGATTTGACGCTTAGCCACAGTTTCATT